CTTACTTTCCCCATCCCCTCCACAGATTCTTCTCTCCACGAACCCTAGCTTCGATTCTCTTGTTTTTTTCAATTGGTGGCATATAGAGCCCTCAAGAAGGAAACCCCTTATTCGTTCCACCATGGAAGGCTCTGTGGTGGAGGATCTTGGCGCGCGGAGTCGTGGGAGGTCGCCGATTTGGACGCTACCGTGAGCCGATTGATGCTCTCTTCGAACAAGGAATCCAAGCCCGAATTCCCCGATTCTACTGCTTCAGCTTCGGCTTCGGCTTCTGGTTCGTCGGATGAGAAGGTGGTTTCGGAGGATACCATCAACCAGGTTGATCAGTTCCTCCGCGAGGCTATCCAAAACCCCGCGAGCGCCTTTCCAGTAAGTCTCTTTCTCCTGTTTTGCAGATAATTCGTTAGGGTTTCTGGATTTAAGGATTGGTCATTGCATATTCCTTTGTTATTGTCTCTCCCTACGTCTGACCCAATGTGTTTCTTCACTAGACCTTCGATTACAAAACGAAAATAGGAATGAAAATAATGTTTTTCTGGGTAACTAATTATGTTTTTGGTACATGCTTATATGGTGTTTAAGAATTAATATCCTAAATTGAAATATTTTAATCCGCCTTTAATTTTCAGTTTGATTGCTCCGGAGTACTTGTAATGGTGCATTTGGTATGCCAACATTGCCGGTGACCTTTTCATGACTCATTATGTTTCAATGACTAGAATGAATTTTTTTAACGTAGTCTGGTTGGTGAGAATTTTTATTAGATGTCATTAAGGTATCCTTATAACTTAGAAGATTCTTCGATATATCATAATAGCATAATAGATTGACTATCTTTTAAAAGTTGGCCATTTAAGAATGCTTGTGAAAGGGGTAAATAAAGTATGCGCTGGTGGAACAAGTTGAAAGTAGATCATGCGTGAGAATGAATAATATTCAGGCATTTGTTCATTTGACAACTATTGTATCTTCATAGAATGAGTGTTCCGCATCTTTCAATTTATGAGCAAGAGTGTTCATTTATACTCATAAACTGAGATTTCTTAATGTCTTATGTTCAGTCCTGAGGATGGAAAAGATGTTGAAAATTTATCCGAGATCCTTCAGCAGCAATTTGAGTTCCAACGCTGCCTACATCATACTTAAGGTTGGCTGCACATCGCATCGCACAGCATTACTCATTGCAGTCGATGGTTTTATTAGACAATAATTTACCTGATGGTTCTGGCTCCAGAATCGTTGTCTGCAAGACTTCTGAATGTAGGCTTCCTCGTATCCACCTGGCAGACATCCCTGTAAATTTACCATCAGAAGACCCTGGTGTTCTTAAGGTGGCTATTAAACAGAGGCCACAGAAAAGGTCTCAGCTTGTGAACAATTCAAATTCAAATTCTTCGAAGTCAAACATCACCAAAAGCGTAGAAGAAAGAAAAGAGGAGTATAACCGAGCTCGAGCAAGGATATTTAACTCTAATAATTCTAGCAGTGGTCCTAGTGGAAAACAAGCAAGTGAACCAAGGTTGCAGGATGTTTCCTACTATGGTTCCTCAGGGATGCCAAATATGGAAGAGAGATCTGTCTCAGTGGTTTCTGATGTAAATTCTGGTAGTGGTTTGATTGATTACTCTTCAAGTAGTAGTAGGTCAGCTAGAAGTAGGACAGAGAAGGAGCCAATTGGTAGGAGCAAACCACATAATAGGGTGGCCATCTTTCGGGATAATGAGTCTGACCGCAAGGACCCTGATTATAACAGGAACTATGATAGGTATGTCCCTCTGTTTTTTATATTTTTCCCCTTCAGGGTATTTTATTTTCTGTTTTATTGCCTGGGATTTCAAACATAGCAGGGATTCATTGAAACTAATATTGAAAGTTATGGTGAAACTTGAAAGGGATAAATGTTTTATTCTCATAGAACAAAGTTTTAGAACAATTTCTCTGTACTTTTCAATTTTGAGTGAATGAGTCTTGATTGCCGAGTCTCATTCTTATAACGAGTCAATGAATCTTGAATGAATGCAATAGGTGTCTCTGTTTTTATATTTTGTTTCCAGCAGGGTCTTAAATTTTCTGATATATGGCCAGGGGTTTCAAGCTTAGCAGGATTCATTGAAGTTAATACTGAAAGTTATGATGTGACCGTAAAGGGAGTAACTGTTTTACTCTCATAGAACAAGGCTTTTAAACAATTTCTCTTTACTTCTCAATTATGAGTGAATGAGTCATTCTTTTCATCTATAGATACCCATTGATATGTTTATAACGCCTGCTCTACATTGTTATTGTCGATCTTTATGCTTCTAAAGATCAGATATCATTTTTTCCTGAAACATTTCATAATTCTCTTTATTTGAACACACTTTCTTTTGATTATCATTTTCTTTTTGATACCATTCTAATGGAAAGTCTGTACTGGTATACTCATTTTCTTTGAAAAGGAATAAAAATGTAATTTACCATTTAAATACAGTTTGTAAATATTAATTAGAAAATTTAGAGATAATTGGTAGGAAAACTTCATAATGGTGTAAGAGAAAAGGATTGATAGCGCTACTGATAGACTGATAGTTTTGAACCCTTATAAGTTTCTAACAATAAAATGAATTTGTGGGGTTTTAGGTAAAAAGCTTAACAATATCAAAATTTATTTTCAAATCCGCTAGCTGCTAAGATCAATGCTGGATTGACCTATATCGTGTGTATTTTTTTTCTTTTTCTTTTTCATTTATATAGACTACTTGGGGGCAAAATTTCGAGATAATGTTCTCGAATTTTTTATTTAACGATATAACGTACTCCCAAGATTAATTGCTCAAATAGGGCGAATTGCACAGTGGCCGTAGGTCGCCATGCCTTCCGGGCGACCTACGGCGTGGCAGCTTCCCAGCATAGGTCGCCATGCACTCCGGGCGACCTTGTAGGTCGCCATGCACTCCGGGCGACCTTGTAGGTCGCCATGCACTCCTGGCGACCTTGTAGGTCGCCATGCACTCCTGGCGACCTTGTAGGTCGCCATGCACTCCTGGCGACCTTGTAGGTCGCCATGCACTCCTGGCGACCTTGTAGGTCGCTATGCACTCCTGCTCCTCGCGTGATTCCTCTTGCCCTCGGATGCCCTCGCATAGCTCGTTCGAATGGCCTCGGTCGGATGCCCTCGGTCGGATGCCCCGGTCGGATGGCTTCGGATGCCCAACATGTTGGAACGTGCATGACACATGCAATCTCTCTCATAGCTCGCCGGGAAGACATGGCGACCTACGACCAACACTGTAGATTTCACCCTATTTGAGCAATTAATCTGAGGAGTGCATTATCTCGTGAATTAATTTATTCGAGAATGTTATCTCGAGAGTTTAGCCCTACTTGGTATTGCAAAACCATTTTTTCTTCGTGAGGCAGAAGTTTATATAGTGATTTTTTTCTTCAGGTACATGCAAAGATTTGATCCATCATCATATTTTTTTATCAAAAGTACACTGTTTTTATTTTTTCTATTTTTATGCTTTTTTTATTTTTATTTAACGGCTTGTATAATTAATTTTAAAATAATAAAATATTAAATTAAAAAATATTTACATAATAAATTTAAAATTAATTAGAAAATTATTTTGTATCATTTAAAAATAAATAAAATAGTAATTATAAATATAAATAATTAAATATTAATCAATATATGGTATAATTTTGTGATGAACTCGTTTCTTTTTAAAATTATGACAACCCAACTTTGTGTTGAAATATTTTGGAAACTAGGGACTTGTGAATTATAGAAATGGTCTTGACTCTTGAGGAGAGGACAATATAATGGAAGAATAGAATGTGAAGAGGACATTAAGTGATTTAGGAGTAAACTGTGGTTACTGGGGTGATTGTAGTCTAGAATTAATTTATGAACTTTTAGCATATCAGTGCGCCTCGCTTACGAAAAGTCCACACCTTCGCCTTGCGCCTAGGCTCCAGAGACCCCTTGCGCCTCGATGCACCTAGCACCTTTTAAAACTAAGATGCCAATAAGTGCACTCATTTTGTTCCTTCTTCTAATGCATGCTTTTGTCACTTTTTTAGTTTACACTTTATTTTAGGGGATTCACACATTTCTGTTTTCATCGTCACTTGCACATGTTTAGTGACAACAAAGTTTACTCTGCTATGTTTTATCTGAATCTTGGAAATTTTGGTCTACATATCTATATAACCATAGCCCCAGTGTTAAAAGGGTGCAAGGCGCACTAAGGCGATAGGGGTTTATAGCCATGGCTCAAGGCACACTTTTTTGAAAATAAAAGATATACATGTTTTTTCCAGTTGTAAAGTCAGCAAAAAGAATAGTTAATGCAATGTAAACCCAAAGAGTATCATCGTCAGGATTTTATGTATTAGGATTAGGGTTTAAATTTCATTTGATAATGTTATTTTTGTGTGGCCCCACTTTTGGCCCAAGTTAGTATGTAAAACATATTTAGAAAAAAAGACAAAGAATAAAACAAATTGACCAGGCACGCCTTTTTGTGCTTCAGCTCCTGGTGCGCCTTAGGCTCGCCTTGTTGCGCTTCATTGAAATTGCCTCACCTAGACCCAATTAGGCGTTTCACCCTTCCTTGCCTTAGCGCATAGGCACGCCTCTGCTGTGCCTTTTTAAACACTGAGTAGCCCTTCTTCCTTTCTCTTCATTTCTTTTAATCTTTCGCTATTTATTCTACATTCATTGTTCACTCAAAGGTGAAAGATAGACCAATCAACCCAACTGTAAAATCTTAAATATGCCAGATGCATTCATCTAATTTTATGCATGGTGTTGGAAGGATTTTCAGATATATCCTAAGGTTCTTATTCTACTCTGGCTTGAAGATGCCTGCAAACCCTGCATATAACAGAATTTACATGTTGACCTTATTTATAATTGTTTCTGAAGTCTTGATTGAAATCCCTTTATATTGATAAATTTTTAATTCAAAACCTTTTAAATGATTTTTCAAAAAAAAAAAACTATATTTATAACAAAATTCACTACGATATGTCTTGTGTAAAAAGAGGTGGGGTGAGCTGGGGAGGGATAGTAAGAACAAAATTGAAAATAAAATCCGTCTCTTTAGTTTATAGGTCTGATTATGGTCTTGAATGATTGAATTTATACAGCCTCATCAACATCAACCTAATGCTAGTTTTGGATTAGCCCGGCCCCAGTGAGGGGCTTGGGCTATGCCTGCACCCTGCCAGGAAAACAATGGTCTGAAACTGCTGAATCAATGTTGTCTCAAGTTTTATAAACTGGCAGGAGTGCAGCATAGAAAGCCGGGGTGAGCTGGACATGATTTTGATGGGAAATGCATCAATCCACAACCTCACACTCGGTTTATCTTGGAGCTTCTGTATCTTTGCAGAGGTAGCATAGCTCATTTGGTGTGGCATATTCATTGCCTTTGATGATGATGACGAGATGAAAGGTAGATGAGACTTCTTGGAGCTAAGAAATAATCACTCATCAATGATGAAGGTATTGCTCTCCTCATTCATTCCCCTCTCCAAAGAAAACATAATATTCCGAACTGCATTTATGTTCATTTCTTGGCTATTATCCTTATAAATGTATCTGTTATGTCACAGCTATATGAGGAGCCAAGGAGAATTGAGAAGATACTTTCTTTTGAAGTGGGCAAATTGATAATGTCCTGTGAGGCTTTCAACGTGCAGCATCTCCTGTTGCGTACGGGTAAAAGCTTTTGCCTTGAAATAATATGCCTTTACGGGAAAAGTTTTTTGCTGCAATAATAAAGCGGACATCGTTATGTACCATATAACTATTTGATCCAATCATTTTGAACCTTTTGATTACTATCGGCTAGTATCTGTAGTCTTTCTTGATTTACTTGCATACACTTGTTTTCTGGTTATTTTGTGCAAAGGAAAACGACTAGTGTTTTCTGTTGGTGACTTAATTAATTACGATTGTGTGTAATGATAGAATGCTATATGCTTTTTAAGACCACAGTTTACCTGCAGCTCTCTGTTCAAGATTATCATGTCTGATCTGTTTGGGCTACGACATTTTGAAATTATCACATTGCTAATATACATTTTGACGTAAACTCTTTTCCTAGAAATATATACTTTTCCAAGATTAAACGTTAAAATATTTTTTATTTATTATTTATCGAAATGTCACAGTTTTAGTGTCTTACAAACAAAAGTACGCCGCTCTTTTCTAATATTAAACATCATGTCGGTGATTGTCTTGTGAATGTGCGTTTTTATGTTTACTCTTTATCATGTGATTGATGATAATGCTTATACGTGCGTAGTAGCTCGGCTTGTCGATGTGTTTTTGACATGTAAGTTCGTTTTTTTTTTCCTTGAAAGAGAACTACGTAACATTTTCATTATTATTTTTTCAGTTTTGGTCTTAGTTAACCTGTAAATTACCAAAGTTTCATCAAATTCCGTCCTCTCAAGATCCTTCCACAGTATTAGAAACGCGGTAGTTTATTGGTCACGGCTTTTTAAATTTTAGTACCATGTATGTAAGAGGTGTTTAATCATCTATGTTTTTTTTTAATTTTAATAAAAGAATATTATCTTAATAAACAATTAAAATGGACATGATTAATATTTAATCTTTCAAAAATGATATATTAAGTATTTTAAGGGTAAAATTAAATAGTAATCTTTTTATATTATTATTGCAATGTCATCAATTTAACGGGATGATGGTATGATTAATTTGGTACAAATCTATAATGATAGTGATTAAATTTTTATAAATCTATAATATTAGTAATTGATTTATTAGCTTTAAAATTTTAATAAAAAATAAAAATTTAGTCAAACGTTAATGATTATTGGAGGAGTTTATTCAAAATAAAATATATAAATATTTGATGTGATGTGGTGCGTCCAATACTGATAGTATGGCCATCGCCCAGGACCAGTTCATAGCTTGCGACCAATTGTAGGAGATGGATTGGTCATTCGTTTCATATGTTTGGCAGTACTACTTTAGTCCATGGTTTTATGCCTTATTGCTCCCCGACCGTGCGAGTATCTATGGATGTACGCTTAACTTGAACTTTGCGCAAATTAAGGGTGGCACGGGGCGGGATGGGGTTGGTTTTGCATTATCCGATCCGTCCCAATACTTACCGTATAGTTTTGGGAAATTCATTATATGTTTCAGAGATTTTTTTGTCCTCATATTCATTTCTTATGAATCACGCGGGTTTCGGTTAATCCATATCCCAAAAAATAAATAAATATTTTAAAGTCAATACAACACCTAAACTTGTAAGATATTAAATTGTCTCATTGATCTCTATCTATAATATAAAGATTCAACGTCAATATTCATCTAACACCCAATGTATATGTATAATCTTAATAATTTTCAATCTGAACAAATCAATGTATATTAAATGAGAAAAAATCTAAACTTCAATTTTAGTTCCTTTGAGATGTAATAGTGCTAACACGTAATCTCATAATCTTATCATATAATTTTATTAAAATATATTAAGGTATACAGGTAAATGATTATAAATATCTTTTTAAAATTTTGTAAATATCAAGGATTCCTATGGATATTTTTCGGGGATTCCCATGGATATGGTTCGATTATCCCCAAGGTTCAGTTATAACAATATCCCCATTCTCATTTGAGCTTCGGGGATAAAATTTCCCTATCCCATCCCTATAGGTAAAGATTTCGGTTATTCCCCATCCCGTATGATGTTAACCATTTAGCATCATATTCATCCTTGCATCTCCAACCTTTCACAAGATTAAAGGGGGGACTCTCCTTATTCTTTCCCTATATTATGTTTATGATGATTATATTCATAATATATGATTCATATTTCATTTGCTATGACATGGATATATATATATCATCTATAGTTATAATAATATCATTCATTATCATATGTTGCATGAATTGTTATTATAGCCTATAGTTCACAACTTTATATTATACTTAATATTTGAATTACTTAACTTATATTATGTTTCTTTGTTATTGTACATAGGCGGCCACATATTGGGAGCTGACTTAAGCTAACAAATGGAGTCCAAAGCTATGGGAAGTTAACTAGGACAACTCCGGGAAGTTAAGGATCAATTGGAGAAAATTGTGGCTGCACTCCGAGCTCATAGCTGGATTGAGCAGGACTTTTGAGCCATACTTATATTCAAGAGCATTAACTAATCTTATTAACTCTGGGGAAGTTAAGTATTTCAAACATTAACTAATCTTATTTCTATCTTTTCTATTTGCAGTCGTACTTATAATTCAGGAACATACTTGCTATCATTTCCTAGATCGGGCAAACACAATAAGGCTATCTATTATTTCTCCATTGAAGATTGTGGATAGGATTACATCACCGTAGGTTCGGATCCTCACGGTCTTCGATTTTTCCCCACCCATTTGCCACCCCTAGTGCAAATCATCAAGGAGCAGCAATCATGTATGGGAATATATAACAATTGATTGATGCATAACGGGTGGGGTATTGGTTTAGAAAGGTAAATGGACGATGATGATGGTAGATCAATTCATCGGTCAATTAAAATTTATCTCATTCGATATAGGCAGAAGATCGTATTTCTTGAGCCAATGATTCGAGCACATGGAATCGTTGTTTCTTTAAGTCCCGGATTCGATCACTAAGAATGATAGGGATATGAGCGTTTATGTCAAATAATGAAGAATTATCTATAAACATATAGTGTCTTGTATTTACCTAAAATATTGATCGGTACTCCCTGGTAGGATTTTCTTTTGAATTTGAAGAGAAGAAAAACGGGAGGAGGGATTACTATTATTAATGGCAATGGTGGCATCAGTCTCTAGTACAAGTTGAGTGAAGAAAATGGAAGGAGGGGTAGGTAAGAAAATGAGAGGTGGTCGGTTTTCATCCTCTTGTGTAAAACAAATTACTTCAATCTGAAAAAAATGATTGGAATTTGTAAGCTGTAGAATACAGCACATGCCTCACTTAATCCTACTCTTAGAGCCTGTGGATGGGAGTACAACTTATACCATATTCTAAAAATAATTGAAAATCTCCAATATCAAAACCAAAACCAAAACCAAAATATTATCCTCAAATACATATTGGATCAGAACCAAAATTTAAAAGAGTGGCTAAACTATTCTGTCCCAAGGATAAAACACATAATTCATAAAGTTTTAAACACGAAGAAAAAAAATCCCTCAATAGAAGAAGCCTAGAACTTTTCCACCAGCATTCTTCCTTCTAGCTTCTTCATGGTCCATTATTCCAGCAGATGTAGTCAGCACAATATACCCAAACTGCAATCACAATACAAATATATACATCTCATTTCGATGAAAGGATCAATGTTTCTTCGGACAAACCATTAATAATTCACGTTAAAACATTCCAATGAGGAAAAAAAATCTTGATGAAGTTTCTAAGCTAGCCTGTCTTTAAGGAAGTAGCCTAGCAGTCCAACCCTCGATTTCTTTCACTCCTATGTCAAAACGAGGACTGATGACCCCACACTTGTTAAGCCTTCCGTTCAGTCAACCACGATTTTACCAGCTCTGTGATCATCGACATACTCAAACTCTCCGATATAACCTGTAGTGCTCAATATTAGTATGATCAAAAGAAGAGTTGGATGTGAAAAATGGGTAGAGATTATATTCAAAAGTTTAAACAAACCATGCTTCTGCATGACCAAAAGGAACTTGATGATCACTTTTGAGGAAGGCCTGATCATGACCTGGCGTTTACCCCTCTTCTCAGCATTGTACATGCTCTTCAGAGCATCATTCAAAACGCCGTCTCACCATCCTTCCAAATACAGGTTACTGCTGCTTTTACATCAAATTAAGCATTTACTTACAGTTTTTAAGAAACTCACTAAAACAACTCAAACTCTATATTTATCAAATATTTGAGTATTCCTCCATAATAGACAAGACCATAAGGAAACCATCTATGTTGACTAATAAAAAGATCACATGTTTTATAAATAAACTAGGCAATAATTTTAGAGTTATATTACATGTCTTAAGTTATAATATATAGATTCACACGCATACATAACGCATTTATTCGTGCCCTAGTCGATCGAATACAAGGGTTTTAACACCCAGTGTGCCTTGAAGTTTGATAACACAGCTAATAAACAAACATCACTTTCCTACATTAATAACAGCACTTCCAGTGATCCAATATCTTAATTCAAACGAGGAATCGTTTCTATTCAATAAACCCAACTTTCTAATCAGAGCTTTCATAGTGACAGAACCAAGCAGAGGAAAATAAGTTAAGGGCACCAAAGCTTTTGACCCATAGGTGGAAAAAAGTGTTTTCTTCACTTCCCCAGAAACACAAGATCATTTTGGTTTCATATCTCGTACATGGAATGAAAAATCAACAACGACGAAACCTAATCAAATGTGTAGATAAACCATGATACCTATATAATCCAATGAAAGAGACGTTAAATTAGAAGAAAAGGATAACCCCAAAGATCTTTAAGTTATAGAAAGGAAAGGCAGTGAGTGTGCTGCTTACCTGAAAGCAAAAGCCGGCGGCGTCGTTTGAAGAGTAGTGAAAGGAAAGACAAAGTTACCTGAAAGCTAGGATTCGGCTTTAAGCTTTAGATTTATGTGGGCATTTGAAACTCAGATATGGGCCTGGTGATACAAAGGTCCAGAAATTGCAATGCTATTGTAGACACTCGTTTTTGTCGGGTCTACAAAAAATATTTTATTATTATTATTATTTATTTATTATTATTATTATTACTTATTATTAATTAATTATTATTATATTTGTGCAGGCCAACACAATTCAGCAGCCCAACAAATTAAATCCAGCAACACTTAATCCATTCAACTCCAACCCCACATATCTCAACCGTTCCTATTCGTGGGGAGTTGGTTGCGCCCTCACCCCAAGTCTTTTGCTAAGGAGGGGGTCTTCTTTTTGGAATATAAATGGGGAAGCACAGACAGTTGGGGGGGGGGAACAAAAGCAAAAAACTGGAAAGGGGAAGGTACTTGAGTAATTCTGCTCTCGCAGTGCCGATTCCTCCTGTCCTTGCAACATTTCAAACCTGCCCGGGAACTCATAGAGATCAGCTAAAAGATTTGTTAAAGTCTGATAATGTTGTTTCCACGCCTGAGATGCAGAAAGGTGAAATGACTCAAGAATCTAATCTGTCAAAGCTCAAACCTGAAGAACGTTGCTTCTCGAAACGATGTTGGCAACAAAGGTGGCCATTGGAACCCACCGAGAGCGAGGACCTTTAAACCCAACACCGATTGTGGAGTGAATCCCATGACTATGAAGCCGTCCAGCATTGGTGTGATCAGAGACTGCAGAGGAGATTGGATCGTTGGTTGCACCAGAAATATTGGCTGCTGCTCAATTTTACAAGCTAAAATCTTGCAGGTTCTTGATGGCCTCGAGGTTGCTTGGGAACGAGGCCTGTAGAAATTGATCGTGGAGGTGAATAGCGTCGAAGCCGTTCGTTGCATGGAGTCTTCCCCTCGCTCTCATGAAACAACAATTGTCAGACGAATCCGAAGACTTATAAATCGGTAATGGATTATCAAATTCAGATACATGCATGCCGTTTATTTGTTTTGCATTTAGAATTCGTTCGTTCCATCACTCTTTAATTGCTTCAATAAATACATGGGCTCCACGTCTAGCCTTAGAGAAACAAGGTGAAGGAACAAACAACACGACTGATGAGATTGATTTTCTTTCATGTCACTTTCACACAGGCATCTAGTGATTGAAAATGGAAACCACTAACTTTCACAAAGTACTTAGTTTTTGGTTTTAAAAAAACTTTGATCATTACGCATTATAATAAATCATTAATCTTATTAACTAGGCTTCTTGTGAACTACGTTAGTGGCATTTGATTTCTTTTGGTCCTGCCAAAACAGCTCGACCATAGTAAATATTGTATATGGGCAGTAGTATTTCAAATCTAGTTTTGGAGTTCAATCTATACCATTTTGCTTCAAATTTGGAGCTGATGGCTCAAGTTAGAGCAGAAAAATTACAATATGTACGCCAATGTGAAGAGATGAAATGAAATCCTTTTTCCATTGACTACTTTTCATATTGGACCATGCTTGGAATTCTAACTCTTTGGTTTTTTTGTTTTTTACTTTATTTATTTGATTTTTTTTACATATATGATAATTTCAATCAATCAAAGGTGGGTAATTTGAATCAAATGTTTTAAATTTCAATTTCAATTTTAATTTTCGCAATTAAAGATAACTGATAAATTAATTGGTACCGAAAGGGCGGTTCAAGGGTGCTAATCCTTCCTTAACCGTAACCGACTCCCGAACCCGACATGTTTCTGGTAAAATGCAGATCAGGTAAGATGGTGTCCGACCCACCTAAATTTGTTTTAAAGTGGTTGGTGGCGACTCCTAACCACATTTAATCCAAGTCAAAGCTCAATTCCGGGGCCCAACCGAAAGACGGTTCCGACAGCTATAAAGCTCTTTACAAAATTTAATCTAAAATAATCAATTAATAGATCGTTAAATTAAAAAAAATTGACCGAAGATCATTCGATATCAACTCAATTTTAAAAATATTATTTTTATAATCTTAAATAAAATAGTAGGTATAGTTGGTATATAAAGAATTTTTTTATTATTTTCATATAATTATTAATATTTGATTTATTGATCGATTAATATATATCAAATATTATAGAAATATATTATAAGAGTGACTTTTGCTTCATTTACGATGCCAACATCTAAATATATATGATCTTACTTAAAAAAATTAAGATCTCATCCTATTAAATCAAGTAGAAATCATTAATTTTCAAAATTTTAAATAATATAGACTTAATTACTTTATATGTGCTTAAACTATGATTCTTATTTTAAATTAGTTCTTAAATTTTTAAATATTATAATTTTATCTTTAAAATTATGACCCTATTTTAAAATTAATATTCAAAATTTTAAATATTTTATATTCATCTTTAAACTCTGATCTTCATTCATATTAATCTTTAATTTTTTTAATATTCTAATTTTATCGCTAAACTTTTGAGTAATTAGATAAATAATTATAAGAAATTGTTTATTTTGATCACACGACTATAAAAAATTAAAAATTGATCATTTAAATTATTAAAAATTTGAAAATAATACCTATTTTTTGAAGTTTGGATAAAAAAATTTAACATGATAATTTGTAAAATTAAAATAATAACATTTTTAACCATCAATATTTACACATTATTTTAATTTAATCCCAAATTTAAAAAAATTTAGGATAAATTACACATTTAGTACCTAAACTATTAGTTTTATTTTGTTTTATATCAAAAATTTTATTTGTTTCAAAATCATGTCTAACATTTACTTTTTGTTTCATTTTAGTACATCTCCGTTAAAAACTTAATGGGTGACTTGTATATGTCATCTTTTTATGTGTAAATTGCATCATTTATTACTCAACTATCTTCTTACTCCTATTTCAGTAAAGTTTAATTTAATTTAATTATTTAACTTTCAAATTTAATTTTATTATGTTAATTATATATTAATAAAGTAATAATAAAAATATCATGTCACGAAATTTATTAATAAAATAAATTAAAGTAATTAAAATATGAACAATTTGAAAGTTTAATTAATTTTTTTTTAAAATTTTGTGACCAAAATAAGAGAGAAAATAATTAAACTATAAAAGATATAATTTACCTATAAAAAATATAGTGCAATTAATTTTTGACGACAAAATATTAAAATGAAACAAAAAGTAAATATTGAATATAATTTTGAAGCAAACGAAAATTTAAGTTTAATAGTTTAAGTACTAAACATATAATTTACCCAAAAATTTAACTTACAAAATTTTAATACCATATCAATGTTATCCCTTTTAATCCACATCCCCTCCAGTCACATCCTTCATCAAAAATACCAAAACCCAAAACCATACCATACTTTCAACTTCAACATTGATCTCAGAATTTCCTGTAATATTTTTTTTTCATATTTCTCTACCAATATCTAGCAAAAAAAACAATTTTGGTATAATATCAAGTAACATAATAATACACAACGTACATTCAAATTAAATTAAAAAGCTATACATTATTATTTATTAGACTACTCCCCCCACTCATATCCATTCTTGTCCTACTAGCTGACTACTGGCACCTCATCGATCAAAAAGTGGGCGACTGAATCTTCCGACAATTCGGTTAGACTAGCAGCTTCGGCAATTCTGAGTGCCATCATAGCTTTGTACGTAGCCATATCAGCATTTTGCATTAACAACTGAGCATGCTGGCGTCTCACAATAGCTGATTCGATCGAACTCATTGCGGCAGCTCTAGCTTCTTCCACCTTAACCATCACATCCTCTTCTACTGATGCATCGTATGCAGCTATCATGGCTGCACGCATCACAAATAATACAGTAAGCAACAAATCCGAAACAAAGTCCTATCCACACATACACACTTCAAAATTTATCACATGTAATAATTGATGACATGAAAATCAAAATATACTGACGTATACACAACAAAATCAGACCAAAACTTGTATGGTATAGAATGACTGATATAGACGAGGGTATAATTTACCTTGCAACAAACTCGGTTGCTTCTCTCTTGCTTGGTTTGCTTGACGCTTAAATGACCTCCTTTTACGTAGGAAAGGCTGTGGAACTACGGGGGCCTTCTGGACCTGATGAACCTGTTAGAATCAAGTCATTAATCCACAGAAGTCGAGTATAGAAAATGTTTATTGTGCTACATGCACACCAAACACCAGAAAGAAGAGCAAGGAGACTGAACTGCAATTGCAGAAGTGATAAAAGTTTCGAGTTTCAAGACATTCCTGGGAGCAAAAAGGTATATACTAGTCATAAAGGAAAGTTCAGAACAAGCATATTCAGTGCTTCAATTGCAAAACAGAAGCACAATTTCACAAATTAGCCACACAACCTGTTATCGTTTTCCCTCTAAATTCTTAAAAACATTAAGTGACGTATCGCACTCCTCCGGATGTGTACTTTATAGCAAGATACTCATGCAACTGTCACAGCAAATAATCATTGGACCTATAAATACAATTCTACGAACTCATTGCAAGACAACATGTAGGAACCAAAAGAAGAACTAGGCCTATAAACCCTTTCAGAAAAGGTCTAGCTGTCCATGCTAAACTTCCCTAAAATTTCAACAATTGAACTTAAAACACAAGTTGGAATTTTCTTCATTTACAAAGGATAGTTTATACAATGCAATGATGCGGAGTTCATTTTCTCAAATGAATATACAATGGTACTGACATGTTGTTCCATAAAGAATATTTACAAAATTTACCTGGAAAACTCTAAGCAGTGGTGATCGCCTTTGATCCCTTTTTCTCAACCAGTAAGCATGAACAGCTTCAACCACTCCACTAATACCCAGATCAGCAGCAGCAGCAATCACATTTGAGTGATCATCTGGGCTACAAAAACATGCCTTCTCGAAAGCATCAACCATCAACACAAAACAATCCTCCGAAAGGTGCTCACAATGACCAAACTCATTATTTAACTTCTTTAGCCATTCCTCATCTTCTGAATCCATGTCATAGTTAGCAGTCCTCTTTGCCAAGGTTCTTGATAGCTCATCACCATCAAACAAGATATAAGAATCCGGTCTTCGAAACGGCACACTGGGTTTACCCTCATAGTCATACCCTGATACTTCACAAACCCCAGGCACAGGGATCACTATACAAGTTGAAGCAGGCACATTGCGCTCATTGCATTCCTTGTAAAGATCCTTGAAAAGGATCCAATCTTGCCGATTTGGGAATTCCAGCTTCCAGGTATCATCCCCGGTCCAAATCATAGCACGTGTGAAGCGACTGACTGATGGTGGCCTCATAGATTTATCTGCCTTCTGTGTATACTTAGTCTTCTTGTCCTTTTTCACTACAAGAAGCCACTCTTTTGATGCAGAGAGCTCTAAAGTGACAATTGCTCCTTCTTCCCTGTAACATCTATCAGGTTCAATGATCAATACATTGGCAGAGCATTGCAATGAATCCGACTCCAACTCTAACTTCGGCTTTAAATCCGATATCGAGGACCTCACATCACTCAAGTCCGAATTTCTCCTAAGCTTGTTTTTAGAAACTACGGAGGAAAAAGGAATCCCATTTCTCCTGCTACTTATCAAATCAGACATTAGAGCTCCACTAGAAATAGGGTCTCTAGCTCTCATTTTCCTCAGTGAACTCCTCCTTTTCTGAATACTACTTCGAAGTGTTAGTTTCGAAGCTCTAAACATTGGATGCGAAGCAACTTTGCTCACGAGTTTATCGGTTTCGAGAACGGTAGAACCAATCGGAGTCTTCAGCTCCGAATTTTCGGAAAGATGACACTTTGGAACAGCGTTTCTCTTCCTTTTTCTAGAATAAACAATCCCAAACATCTTATCTACAGTGCCGCCATTGTTTTTGGCTGCACCTTTCACTTTCCCGGACCGTTTCTTTGGATTCTCTTCGTGGCCCGGTCTTTTGGGTTTCTTATTTACGTCTGCACGAGACTTAGGTACTTCACTCTTTGGGTTCTTTTTCACCGAGTTGTTGAACTCAACGCCGTCGTTGAAGCGCCTCTTGGGCTTTACTTCGCCGGAATCTAGCCGGACTTGCCGCCCGGAACGAAGAACCCTGGCATCCGAGCTCTTCATACCGCAAACTCGTGTGCTCCGTTTCATCCCCACCGAAGGCATCGCCGCCCGGAGATAAACACAGGTCGCACGCTCTTCCTACCCCAAACCCAACGAGTTGACTTTGTAACCGAGTCGACTCGGATGAGTCCAAAAGATAAGGAAAAGACAACCCCGAAAAGACTCGCCCAACCAACCACCTCGTGAAATACAACAGAACGTTAACAAATAGACATCCAACGGATGACCCTCCATCTAAGAAGCAGATCCATACCCATAAGTGAAGAAACTCACACATACAAACAAAATCTGCAACTCGGGAAAACTAGAGTAACCCAGACCGTTTTGACTCGGCTACACGTTTTTTTATAATTTACGTTTTACTTACAAAAGAAGAAAACTAGTAAAGATAACTACAACAGTGTAAATAGTAAACAATAACTGAGAAAAGTAAGACAATATTTCACTAACAAAGATCGTTCAACTCCAAATTAAAACTAAAATTACATCCACAGAATACTTAAAAAACACACACAAAGATCTTGGTTCTTTAAAAAGATAGAGACGAAGAGGGGAAATTTCTATAAAGAAAAGATGAGCCTCTCTCTAGAAATTGAAGAGAGAGAAAACCTGGTTATGGGGTTTCACGTAAATCTTGTTTTTTGAGAAGAGATAGAGGGGAGGAAGAGATGGAGGCGCTAGGGTTTATGATGATGTGATAAAAAAACCACTGGGAGGGAAAATCTAGAGTGAAGGGGGGAAAGATAATTAGAAACGAGATCTTATGCAACGGAAGGTTGAGATCATTGGGTGGCTCCAATGACTGGACCGTTTTCGCCCTCTAGTTTTAAGAGAGGGGCTATTTTCCTCTTTGGATCCTGTGCCTAAATTACTAAAATAGCCTTTGGTAATTTTGGTATGGGCAAGGATGGTTATGGTCGTTCGAGTTTCTAACCCATCTAAATCCGATTCAAATATTAATTTTTTATTTGTATTAACACAATTTGAGTATAAAAGTTTGATCAATTACACGAATCAATTAGTTTTTGTAATAAAAGAATTGTTGTTATTTTTTGAGGATCTGAATTTAAGTGTCATAACTATCAAAAGTGTAAACGTTAAATGTCAAAAAATTAAGAATTATCTTATAACATATATTATCTTATATTTATCCGAGGTTAATAAAAAAAGGTTTGATCAATTGCTCATCGCCTCATCCTAATTTTGGGGAGAGGTTTTTAGAGAGGAAACTTCGGGTGAATGTGTTTTTGAGGGTAAATTGGGAAGTTAAAAAGGGGAACGTGGAGCAGTAAAACTGACTAAAAAGATCCACCGTTAATGTGACACAATGATGATTTTTAATGTAGCCTACGCCTTGACTTTTTTATTTGTATTATAATACTTTTAAAATAAATTGTTATTAGAAGAAATAATTTTTTTTAAAATTATATTTTTATGTTTAGTTTAAAAAAATTATTATCAGATAATAATTTATTATCAATTATATTAATAAGGAGTTAAAATTGTGAGAATGTCATAATTTTTAAATTCTTAGGTAATGAATAATTATTATAATTTTGAATACAAATACCACTAAAATAATAAAAAAAAATCATATGAACCATTCTCAATTCTTATTCTTTGAGTTTTACTCAAAATTATAAACTTAATAATAATAATAATAATGTACAAAAAGTTTAATTTAATAAAATATTAATAAATTTGAGTAGTTAAAATTATTTTATATTTTTAATACTTAGTATATTAATTATTTTATAATTTTATGATGTGAAAATATTATTATTATAAAAATATAATTATTTAAAATAATATTTAAATTTTGAGTTATTAAAAAATAGATCTTATACATTAAAAAATATATTTATTTACTCGAGATCACAATACTATTTTCATATTATATTATTTTATATAAATAAATATGATACTTATGAAAATTATTTAAAATTATAAGTTTGGTATACTAATTATATTAATTATATGTTAAATGCTTGATATTTCTTTAAGAATAATGTAATAATTAAAATATTTTTATAAATTTTCACTCAAATATTTATAATTTAATATTAAAGTTTTACTTGTTAAAAAATATATATATCACAATGATAATTTGGTAAGATAAGCATTCAAGTAATCTTATATTCCTCAAAGTAAACATTGTAATCTTACATTTATGCTAAGCAAAGCAAACATAGTAATACAACATTCCCAGATAATGTTATATTCTGGTAATCTTATCTCTAAAGGTAATATTATATTCCATAAACCAAACACGCCCTTAGTTGATTTAGTTTTCAGGATCATCTATATTCGTGACTATTTAGTGATAGTTAAATTTTAAATTTTTTTAACAAATTTAAATTAAATTTAACAATTGATTTTTTTTTTAATTTTTTTAATTAATTTTTTTATTATTATTTTGAATAGAAGTCATTGGTCTTATTAAGAAGTGAAAATATCAAAAATTATAATAATAATTTACAACTATTATAGTAAACTAAATACATAATTTGAATATTTTCCTATAACATTAAATTAACCAACTTAGATCATATAAGGACTATACATGGAAAAGGTTAAAAATCAAACAAAAAACTCGAATGAAAAAATAGATACAAAGAAATCTAACTACACTGGAAAACAAACCATAAAATAGGATTAAGCTATTGAAAGACCACAAAGAATCGCAAATCAGAGTCGAGCGTTGTTAGAAACTATCCACAAACGTAAAATTGTGTATATAAATTCAATTCAAGGGTCCATAGCAATTTACTTATTATGAATATATGATTTAGTTTTATATCGATTAAGTGTCGATTTTATTTTTTTATATATTTTCTTTATATTATCAAAGTTAGTTTATGGTAGTATAATCCTAACATATAGTTTGAATACTTCGTGTTATTATGTGATGTTGTCGTACCATGATAAATCTAAGGATCCAAATGACCTGAAAGGAAAGGATAAAACACGTGATTGGGAGTATCACATAAAAGTTTCAATAGTAAGGCAAATGTGAGTGCATTTTATTTATTTAATTATTTTGATCGATGACGACTTGAGATGTCAACCTCATATTATTTTAAAAGTATGATTTATAATTTTAATTGTAGATTATTTATATAATATGTTCATCAAATATATGAATGATTTAGGGTATGAATTGCCCAAGTACGATTTTCATGATGATGAATTTTAAATGTTTATGATTTTTAAGGCATTGATTAATAAATAATTTTATTATGATTTAAAAGCCATTGTATGTTGTATTGAGGGTAGTAGGTACATTTGGCATGTCTTTAAGTTAAGTACATTCAAGTTATGGTACTTATGTTATGATTTGCACTTGGAGTTTATCTTATGATGATTATTATGATTGACGTCGTGAAATGCTTAGCGCGCACATTATGTTCTACTCACATACCTTATATTCTCTTAAATATGCATTGAGTTATGAAAAGGGAGTATGAAATTGGCTTGAATAAGTCGGTTTAAAAGTTTAACATTTTATGTTATATCTCACCTTAGCTTATTATTGTCTCACTAAGTTATACTTAGCATGTGGTGATTTTTCATGCGTAGGTTTGGACAAAGAAAATGACATGCAGTGAGGAGCCTCCTGAACATCTTTTGGATAATCATATCTATCATCAATATCAGTAAAACATCTATGATGTTACTTTTGACTTTTAGTGGCATGTATAATTATATCAGTAGTTTTGTTTATCGGATTTATTTTTAAATGGTCTATAATAGTAAACTAGGACCATTTATTTTATCTAGTCTAGTTTTATCAGTATTTATGAATAAGTAGAATATATATATATATTATTATGTTTTGAATGGTTTGAAAATTTAGCATAATTTAGGCAGTTCTAATAGTTTACGAAACAATACTAAACTGTCTAATTGCTGCCTGAAAAATGAATTTGCTTTCAATGTTTAAATATTAATTTATGATTTTATGTGATTAAGAAAATAGTTTTAAAGTTGAAATATGAATGTTTTAAGACGAAACAAAATTTTGAGCATTTATATTCAACAAATGTCTATAAGATTGATGTAACATGTTTAACTCGTATTTCAATATGTACATAGGTTATGGGTGTTACACGTCATCTTGCTTAACCGTTTCGTCGTCAAATTTAACCATAAAAAAACATAAAATAAAAAGAACAATCAAACAACCAAGTAAGAAGACAAAAAATGTGCCACAAAGGTAAAGAATAAACGTGCCACAAAGACACAAAACCGATGCCGCCGCCGGATGAACAAAATCAAATAAGAAAAAATCAATTTTTTAATATAAAAATGTTGAGGTTAGTCATCACGATTCCTAAGCTTCCATGCACCTATCATTCTCCATCAGTGTAGCCATTTCTGTCGGGTGGGTTATGAAAGGTGTGCAAACCAAATGAGAGGGGCCATGCCATCTTTACCCGTCCATCATCTGTTACATTTACTTCCCTCGGTATATGCCTTAAGTCTAATCTCCATTCTCGTTGCAGTAATTGAATTATATGAGGTACCATTAGAGATATTATATCCATTAGGTCACGTTGAAGAAGAGGAAAGAAAGTTAGGTCCCATGCTATCTCAAGTCCGGTCACCACTCCCTGTAGTTCCACGTTCAGTATCGAGCATCGTCTAATACCTTTGGTGAAACCCCTTATCCCACCACATTGGCATCTCGCAGTATTCCTCTGCACGAGGCCAGTCCTGACTCCGTTCTCCGGGCACTGTCTGAATTCAGTTTGACCCAACTTGCTAAGGACACTTTCCAACGTTGTTGCGTATCTTGCTGGATACGTTCGGCATCTGATCTCATCTGTCGCATATTCAGGGCTCGCGTAGCCTCTCACAGCATCGTTTTCCCAGACTGTAGTACGCATTCAATTTTAATAAAGTCCAGATCATAGATAATTCTATTTTGTCGTGTCCACAAAATCCATATTATCGAACCAAACATAACATCCTATTTGTCGGCTACTACTGGGAAATAACTCGACTCTTGTAGATTTGTTTGTACCGATTTGTCCATCGACATGTTGTAAAATTTTTCCAATTTATCCAGTTTAAGTAATTCCTGCCATTTTACTATTGCTACGCCACATTCTCGAAATATATGCGATGATGTTTCCATCGACGTTCCGTAAGAGGAGTAAGAAGCGTTGTCCGATAAGTGGCAACGCACTCTTTCGATATTTGTCAATAACCGGTTATTATATAATAGCCACAATAGCATCTGAACCCATATAGTCCCATAAAATCCGTAATTCTTCTCCATACTCTAGCCTCCACCTCATCGGGGATTTGTATGCGATTTCGGAGGACACTTTTTAAAGAGAACAAGTCACAACTTATTTCCTTTAGAATCGTGATATCCTGGAGCGCAACTGCTTCTATTTGTCTAATTGTATTACTTTGTGCTCTTAAACTATTTGATTGTCGTACGGAACACCAAGGCTCCGATGGCTAAAACTTTCATAATATTTTACATGCAATCGATTTTATTTTTTAAAATGATAAATATTCTAGATTGCAACGTGCTTTCTTTAGGGGCCATGACACTTTGGGCACAATCTATTCTATTAATACACAAGTTGACATTACAAGTCGAAACCTATTTCCTTTAGAACTGTGATATTCTGGGGCGCAACAGTTTCTATTTTGCCTAATCGTAATACTTTGTGCTCTTAACCTATTTGATTGTTGTGGGGAACGCCAAGGCTCTATCGGCTAAAACTTTCATAAAACTTTAAGCACAATTGCTTTTATATTTTAAA